GAATACCCCCCCAAGATAGATGTATTGTACAGATGCCGATTCTCAGTACCAGTTATGTTGGCTACAGGTCTGTTGCTGTTGCAACACACTGCTAAACATAACCTCTTGCAACTATTTTGTTTTTACCAGTAATCAAGAGTATGCTATATGCAGAATTGCTATGAACAGGCTTATAATTTCTGGCATCTGATTATTAAAATTTTTTAGATATAGTCATCCAGACCATGATTAAAGTTATCCTTTGCTTTAACCTGCTGTGAAATGTAGCCCCTTTTCTCTGAAGGTCGCTGTCTCAACTTTACTACTGAAACTGATGAATCTTAAAGAATTGATGGCTGAGAAATGTGCCTGCAAAACATGTATTGAGATACACTTCAATAATAAAACAGAAGACATCTTTATACAAGCTTTCTACATCTGTGTTTAGTGTTTTTGAAGCACTATTCTTTAAGTTCCTCATCTTGCTACTTTGAAGTCCAAATTAGAGACTGGAATGTCAGTCCTAAAAATACAAGGCATTCAATATCTTAAATATTTTTAATTTATGATAATTTTATAATAATTGTGTATTCTAATTTATCAATTTGAATGATATTTCTTGAATTTTGTTTTTTTCTCTTTTTGCGTGTCTGTAATTGAGATTTTTCTTTGCAGTCTTTGTCATTGAATTGCTATTCTTGATGCTGTAAACCAATGAAAGATCCAAGTTTAAAAAGCAGTTAATGTACACAAACATTAATCAAAAATTACTTGATTATAGTTTATTGTTTGAAAGAGCCATAGATTAATGATTCTGTAGGATACACACTGGTATGAAAGACTAAGCATACTTCTGGAAGCCTCTGATCCAATATTAATAAATGATAAGGCATAACTGCAGCTTTTATTTTGCTTCACAGTGAGTCAAGAATGCATAAGTAGGTAATGAACTTAATTTTTTTCAGAACATCAGTGAAGAATTCTTTATTCTCTTACATTATCTATTTGCTTTGAGGTACCAAAGCTTAGCTTCTTGGTAGAATGGTTTATTCATAAAACCAATGAAGACTACAATCCTGATTCGTACTTGCTTTTTATCCAGTGCTTTTGGGTAGTTGTTCCTATCAGTACAGAAAAATCTGTAAAGCCTATAACACCGAGTTAGGATTTACACCATTAAATATCCACTCCTCAAAACCTAACGGGCAGCAGAATGTTGAAGGATAGTTGAATCTTAAATCATAACTTTGATCCAATGCACCAGAAGGAGGTAGTACAGGCTTGGAAACAACCTGTCTGCATGATGAGAGTAGTAAGTTGTTAATGACTTCTTTTAATATTCCTTTAAGATCTTTCATCTGTACGTTCTAGCTTCTGTTAAATTAAAAAGTTTATTTATGAAATTATGAATAATATCATGAAATTATGGTTCTTTGGTTTAATCCTATTTTTTTTAATGAAAAAGAGGGTTGACATTCTCTGACCTGTAGGAATTTTACTTTTCTTTTCAACTATCATCAAGTGCCAAGTATTTTTAGGTTAGTGTATTACCTAGCATCAATATATGATATAATTAAACAATAACATATTAAGTAATAAAGCACATGATTATGAAACATTGGGCTTTTTTGATAGGGATGCTAAGTGGATGAGCTCTGCTTAGGTTAGTGCAAGTCTGTTTATCTTCTATAAATAATTAGTTTGTGGAACTGAAAATGAGATATGAACAGATTTTCTGGGGTAGGTATAAATGAAGTCAAAACACTGTATAGATACAGGTTTTTAAAACAAGACAATATGTTGACACTGGTTTTGAGGTTGCTCTTAGTATTAAAAATTTAAAATCCAGTGGGGGTTTGTTTTTTCTATTCAGTTGTCTGTGAAAAGAGATCGCTGTGTTCAATTATTTTTTTACAAATTAGTTAATCACTACAATTGGAAAATACCTAATAAAATATTTGTGTATGGAATAAGGTCATGGCACAGACATTCTCACTAAAACGGATGTGAGGAAAAAAGATGGAAGAGGATTTTTATTAATTGTAGATGTTGAAGGTGAAGTGGACCATGATCATAATCTGGACCCGACCACTGAACAATTTCTTCATTAAATCTGTAAAATTTTTGAATTATTTTGAATAGTTAGCCATATCTTTTAGAAAGTGTCTTAAGTCTTGATATGAAATCTTCAAATCATCCAGAACTGATACGCTATTGAAAAATATGGACATTTGCACTGCATATATAATGCTATAAATCTCAGTCTAACTTTTTTCTGCTACCTATCTCCTTCTCTGTATGTGTTAGTTAATAGTGATCGCACAATCTTTTAATATTTTCTGAGTGACCAGTTAGGTTGAGTCTCTTTTGTTTCTCACTCCCAAGTTTATTTTTCAATAATTTTGTAGCTGTTCCCTGATCTGATTATAGCCTTTCAAATATTCGTAAGAGTATGACATAAGCACCAGATGTGTAATTTTATTAATGGTCTCATGCTACCACAGAGAGATATAGAAAACTTTGATTTTTATTTCTCTACCTGTATTTGTCCTTGTAAATTCAACATTATATCACATGTTCATTTCCACAGTGAACTGTAAAATCCTTTTTGAAATCACCAATTTCAGATGCAGTCCCCTGTCTTCTAAGTTTGCCCTGTAAGTTTTCAAATGATGACACTGTAGACATGATTTCAGTCATACGTGTACGTGGCTGATGACATTATTCAGCTAATCCCAAAGACGTTCACTTTTCCAAGCAGTCTTTGTCAGACTTTTCTTTCAGATCATGGGAATACAGAACAAGTTTGGAATGAGAAAAGATATCTGCAGGTCACCTTTCTTCTCCAGCAACATTCATTCTACATTCATTCTATATAGAACTAATTTTGCTGACACTGTGTCTTGTGGCACATAATCAAATGCCTTGCAGAAATCTCAGCATGTTATTTCAAAGCACTTACCTTATCAAAAAGAGTTTCTATGTAATTGAAAAAGATAGAAAATTATTTTGACAGGACCGGTACTCAATAAAGCGACGTTGATTGACATTAGCCGAACTCCAGCTTTTAATTTATTGCTTATTGTATATGAGGATCAGTGTCAAACTATGTAGTCTGTAATTTCCCATAATACTCTTCAAAAATATTTGACAATATTTGATTTTTCAACTCCTCTAGAATTCTGCCAAAAAGAGATCACACAAATAATTGAAGTAAAAATGAACGTTGCCTGTTTGAAGAATGACAATACACTAAACAGCAAAACAGCTGTATGTAGTTAGAAGTCATTTGGAAATGTACTGAGGAGTTGCCCTTTTTGTTGATTTTTGCTGTTTTTAAAGATATCACCAAAGATTAACCTAATGTGTTCTGTTAGTGAAATAGGATCAAACTACTCAGTGGAAAAGAAGTCTTTCCGTCTTCAACCTTTACTCTGGCAAAACTCTTGTCAACTTCAAAGTCAATTCAATTAGCATTAGTAGGCCTGAGTAAAAGTAGAATTCTCTGTAGAATTCAGGGGGAAGGACTTGTATTTTCAGTGAGGTGAAGTTTTACAGAATCTGTCCCTTTGTTTCAAAAATAAATAAGAATATTCAGGCCTTACTGTGTCTTTACTTTGTGGTGTAGTTGTGCAGACCTTATAACTGAGACATGTTCCAAGTTAACTGTAAAAAATTTACCCACATTTCTTCTCTGTTAACTGATAGCTAAGTTTATAGTGGATTGTCAGATTTCTTTACTTAATTCAGCAACATGCAAGACATCTATCTTAACATCTGGTTTTTAATAACAGTTGACATCTGGGAGCTCTTTTTTATTCCAAGAATGAACGAGGAACAGTAGTGATACTGGCGGTGTATATTTTCAGGCTAAAATTCCTGTCCATTTCAATCATAATTAATTGCCACTCATTTTATTTAGTTTTTAGATTTAATTAAGTGCCAAGAATATGTTACGCTAGCTAACTTTAGAAGTTTTGAAACTATAGAATGTAATTTTGTTGTTTCTAAAATATTAATGGGTGAATTTTAAGGACATCTAAAATGATAAGATTTTATTGGATTTTGAAATGCTGAGTTAAATGAAAAGCATTGTCTTGTGCGCCTCTGTTCTAGAAGCTGAATATCACATCAGAATTTGGCACGGTAGGACTGTATATAGATATACACATACACATCTGTTTGTGCATAGATAGAGAATCATTATAAAAAATGTAATCTTCAGTAAATGTATCCAGGGAAGAACATTTCACTCTTCTGGTTTAGTTCATGTTTTTTTTATTTTGTTACTTTTAACTTCGAGTTTATAATAAATAGAAAGAAAGACCTTCTTATTTTAGCATATCTATGGTAAAATAATCCCTTTAGAAAACAAATTAATGAAATTTTTTTTTTTTTTTGTGTTTGCCATTAATGTTGTGTATCATTAAAACTCTAAATAAATGAGTGATCCTAATGGTTCCAAAATGGGAAAAAGGAGAGAAACTAATAGTATTCAACAATGTGCAGTTTTAAGGATTGCTTAAAAGATAGATTTAATTGATCACGTTATCAAAGTATACTTTGCTAATGATAGGTTTTTTTGGTTCTTCAACAGTTTTATATCTTTTAATTTAACAGAATGTAACACAATTTTGTTATAGTAATTACTTTACTTACTTAAAGGTTTGATCTATTTCTGCTGTCAATGTTCGTTTAAATTGCGTGCAATTAAAAACCAGATAATCTTTTAATATTTAATCTTATAATCTACTTCCTACACACTGTCTTAACTGGGTGGGAAAAATGTTTACGTCACTGTTCTTGTTTTTAAGGTTGCTATAGATGCAGATTCTTGTATATGTAACACAAACTTGTTCAGTTGTTTTTGCTGGCTTACATACTTTTTTAGGAAAAAAAAAAAATCATGTTTTTAACAGCTGAGAAAATTATGGTTTATATGCACCAAGGTAACTAACTTTTTCTTCTTTCATTCCAATGCTAACATCTTCTCTCTGCATCTCGTACTGTCTGGCACACAGGATGACGAGGAGGGTATATGGGCATAGCCGTTCCTATAAACCAAAGTTCCAGTTTTGTTTTGAGGGGTGAGAAACTCTTTTCTATCTCTTTCAAGTTAGTCTAATTTTTATTGTTTTATTTTGAACTGCATGGAGCTGTGTGTTTCTTGACAAGTGTGTTTGTGAACACTATAAAAAATGTTTTCTCATACGCAATGAACAATGAGAAACTATGTCTATTGGGTTAATGGTCTAGTGGTTTGATTTTTCTCATAGCCTATTGTGGCTAAAGGTGTAGGTAGGTACAAAACTTTAAAAGGAGTGTATTTGTATCTGTTTGTATCTGTCTAAACAATTTCCTGTTTTCAGTAGGTAAAAATTTCTTTAAACTAGTATTAATCTGCTATATTGTCTTGAAAATCTCTGTAAAAAACCTGGAATATCTTTGCAAAATGAGTATGAAAGTTTGATACATAAGAAACTTTGCCACAGGTAAAGCATAAAATTTTGCTGGAATATAATTTATAATATGCGTGGACAAAATGAGACTAACTGTTAAGCTAAAACATGTTAGTGAAATTTAAAAATAAGCAGCAAATGCTTAATAAAAAAAGTATAATCTGTCTATGCAATAAATGCTTTTTGCCTGAAATAATCTGGTGGACTAACATCTGTACAATAATTTGGTTGTGATATTTAAGAGTAAAAAGTGCAGCTTATTTTGTTTGTCTCTTTCAATTATGAGTAAATACTATATTGTCGCTGTGTGTATTGATCAATGCATATCCACTTTTCTGGTGCTTGCCTTTGAAGCTGTAGGTAATTTGTAGCTCATGGTCATTGTGTTCTCAACATTGCTAAGGCCATCAGGCCTTATGGTTCGTTTGCGCATAGAAGACATTGCTTATGTCACCACTTCTTACTGGAATAATTCTGTTTACTATAGTGGGACTTTTCAGAGGAGCAAAATCTACTCACATAAGTAAAGATTAGTGTGTTATTAAAGCTGCCATACTTTATATTGCTTTGGCCCCTGTCACTCCAAGTCAAAGACTGTATGATTTGTTTTGTTTCCTGTAGTGTTATAAACCATGTTAAAAAAAAAATTAAACTTGTTGAAGCTTTCTTTTGCAGAGAAATTTAAGATTCAACAATCATAAAATAAAACGATGGGCACTGTGATACCATTAACATTTAAAAGAAAGCAACCTTGGTTTATCAGAGTATAGTTATAAGTCTTTTTTGGTTTTATGTTTTCTTATTCAATTTTAAACTTCATGCTTGTACAGGTTATATGTGTAGATAACTTCTGTGTTTATGGACACACATATTGCATGTGATAACAGGATATTCCAGATTTTTTTAGTTACACTTTCTTCTTTCCTGAAAATAAGTAGCCTTAAAAAGAATCTGGAATTGTTCTTTTTCACATAAGAATGTAAAAAAGGTCTATGAGTCGTCTTAGTGTTGTGTTTTAAGTAATTAGCAAGTTCTATTAAGTGCAGCTGCATGATATTTTAATAATAGTTTATGAAGTTATTTGAAAGTAACGTAATTTTTAGCTGTTTGTCAGCATCAACCTCTGTTTTAGATGTGGAGAGCTGATCGTTGTTTATTTTCCAGGCCCATATATATTTCCAATTTAAAACCAGACATTCCTCTCTGACTCTTTTGTTCAAAGGTAGTATAACAAATAGCTGGTAGCAGACATAGCCTGTCCTCCAGACTAAACTCATCAGTAGACCTGTCCTTGTAGGTAGAGTCGCCATAGTGTGGGAATGGCTGTCACAAGGTGAAAACTCATGTCATAGGCCTCCTTTCCTAGGGGAAAAAAATAATTTAGGTCCCAGACCTATAAATCTCTCTGAAAATACATGTGATATATTGACTGTTAAGAGCTCTAAGTATCTTTTACAAAATATATACTTAGAAAAAGTAATGGATAAACTTTTCTGTTTTGCATGGACTTGAGAGCTAACAGCTTGATTTGGCTATCTCCGCTCAGCTAGCTCAGCAGAAGGAGTTGCTTAGGTAGAACTGAGCTACTTAATTCTTCTGTTAAATCAGGAAAACTGGATTTAGTTCTCAGAATTATTCTTGAGGAGTAAAAGTTATGACATAAATTACTTTCCAAAATTACTTTTCAGGTCTTTATTCCTACTTTCTGATGTTTGAGCAGAGCAGGAGTTAAAAATTACTTGATTGTAAGACAACTCTGTTGTACTTTCTGCCACATAAACTAAAGCCCTGGATCTGTTAAGCAAATGAAAATTTTGGATAATTGAATTATTTCATGTTTCTACTGACAATCAAAAGGCTGATACAGTTGCATCTTGCAGACACAGTCTTTGTAAAATACACATTTATAACTTGTTCCTTTTAGAATCTGCTTTATAATGCTGTAGTTACAGATTGAAAGGAATAGTCCCTGTGATTTAGTTTTGGAACATTTTGATAATTTTTATTGCGATTTAAATAAGACACGCAAGATTTGTCTTGGATGTATATGGCTCAAGGCTAAGTGAATTTAATAGCTCAAATGGTTAGTAATTGGAGTGAAATGAACTGTCTTGAATGTTGCATTACTATTTAAAAGTGGCATTGTTAATACGAGCAGAATATCCAAGTAAGTGATTACAGTAAATCCATTTCTGTGCAGAGTTTTAAAGCTCTAGGCATAAACTCTTCGCTACAGAGAACCCTGTCCTGTGTTTTTGACAGCACATGTAAGATGAGTTTGAATGCTCCTCTCACCAAGGCAAGGTGGTAAAACTCCCTGAACAGCTATTCACCACCAGGAGTGATGGGTGCACAGTTCACCCCAGTTACCTTCCTTGCACTGTGGCTGCAGGATTAGGCAAGATGAGTCAACTCTTTTGCATGATAGTAGTAGAGTGGATGAGTGATCGAATTGGTGAACTTTCAGCAGCCTGTTGAAATAGATCTGGAGACTAGATAAATGAAATGAGAAGAAGATGGACATTTCATCTCCATGTAGGAAGGAGCTGAATTCATTCTTCATAATGTAAGGACTCTTAATTCATGGGATTGCCATGTTTTTACGATTCTTCCTTTCTTGCTTTCTCCTGATTTTCATAAGTAGTTTGGCTGAGGGAAATGAAATCTCTCAGTAGATTGAGTGTCTATCAAAATGCAGAAAATACAATACGATTGTGTGGATATCTGGTTTAGAAAGGCTTTTCTGTATTTTTTTTACTGCAGACTTTTATCAAAAACTAATTGCAAACATGAGAAAAACAAGAGACTCATGAAAATGAGGAATATATTTTATGTTGGAGAGGAAAATATAATTTTATCAACTATTTAATTTTAGAAGTATTAGAACTATAAAAATGTGGATTTATAAAAAAAAAGTCCTTCACCTTACTTCTTTATACTTCGTATATTTGCCATAATTTTTAGTTATACAGTTTAAATTGTATAAGGTATGGATGCAGCAGTTCCATTGTGACACGCACTTTTATTTATGAACCAAAGCATATTAATGTTCTTTTAGTGTCACAAAACCACATTTGTTTTAGCTTAAAAAAACTTGTGTACAAAGTGTACAATCTTTTTCAAAACTGCCTATCAAGAGATTAAGGAAATCTTAATTTAATTTTTTTTTTTACAGTAGTGTAAAATAAATGATATGCTTTTGAGTTGGAGTTGATTTCTCTTTAAGAGGATTTGATTTTCTACAAAACAAGAAGCAGCTGAGATACCAAAATGTGTAGCTTCTGAACTTGTTTTGTTTCAAGTCTAATTTTATCCTGATTATATAGGCTTACTAACATTGGTTTGGATACCATGCAGATAGTCTTACGCAATAAAGTTTTCCTGAGGCCATGAGGTAGTGCTCTGCCTCAGAAAGAATAGTACATGCTTGTCCTCTAATTACGTTTAAAAAGTAGTAAATTACAAATCAGTGAAGTCCTTTTAAACTTGACCACTTCAGTGCTCAAATACTACGGAAGAGTGACATGAAATGATGGTGGAAATGTAGAGTGGCAGGACGAGAATGTGTTGTAAGGTTGTAGAGAGCTCTTTACTCTTTAAGGAACAGACAAGGTGTTCAGGGGTATCTCACTGGACAGCAAATTTGGTTGCACATGTAGGTGCTCTGGTTGGGGCTTGTTAGAAACAGGATCTCTTCCCCTCTTCTTGCCCTTACAAAGAAAAAAAAAATTAAGTGATGATGGTAAGTTTCAAGAATTAAGCCTATGTAACAGTCTGTCATGGGTAACTGAAGCCACATGACTCTCAGAAAATATGTTTTGTGGCACAGCTGAGGTGTGCAGGTAGAAGACAAGGGCTTGGTTTTTCCTTTCCAGTTCCTACCAGTGAAGTGCAGCAGACACTGGAAAAGAAGTTAGGACTTTGCCACAAATTGTCCAAGTGTATCTGTAATAGAAACCAGCACAAAACCTGTTTGTAAGGTATTTTGTTTATACAGTACGGTAGACTTTGTCAGATGTGAAGTAAATCAGAAGTTTTAAAACATGTTTAGGAGTGTTTGGACAAGTTTATTGTCTGTTGTATCATTAGAACAGGGTTACCTTCACGCCTGAAACAGAGGGACTGAGGCTTCTGCCTGCCAGCAAATGATGTTTAGTGTTTTTGAAACTGAAATCATAAAGCTAGTCTGCTAAACTTAGGTTTAGGAGCCAAACATAAAGTCTATAGTTTTAACATTTTGCCTTAGTAGTCACTAAGGAGGCATTCTTCGAGAGGCATCAGTGTCATTCAGTAAAAAGACCCTTCAAAGCAGAAATAGTCTACAGAATGGGCAAAAGAGTAAAGCTTCTTAATTGTTGCTCAGGCAAATATTTGCTGTTCACTTCTGACTGTTGGATGTGTTTTGTATGTGTTTTCAGGGAGGAGGAGGAGAAGGCTGTTTTAAAACAAATGTGATGCTGAGCTTTGTCTTTGTTGAGATGTGGTGAACAGTTTTCTTTCAAGATGTCCTTACTAATAGCAGCATAAAGCATAACAAAATTTGGTCATGTTACTATATAAGGATATGTTTAAAGACATTAACTATTAGCTATTGTTCTGCTTTTTGTTTTCATTATTTCAAGTCAAGA